TATATATATATATATATATATAATTTAATTTATGTGCATTTGAAAATGTGTCTTTGATATGCTAAGGAGATCTAAAAGCATGAAGAACGTGCAACAAAAGAGGGCTCGCTGATAGAACAACAAAATAACTACTTGTCCCACCAGATGTAGCCACCGGAGCCAAGACTAAATGTAGATTAGATGTAGTTGTCCGAGCCAAGGCCAAAGGCCTACCAAGTCACGAGAAAGACAAAAGGATGGCCGATCAGATTATAACAAGACATATGAGAATCCGAGCTCAATAACTACATGAAATTGACCGAAGGCAATAACTGATCTTTTGGTAAATCTGACTTGAGAAAAGACAAAGTTTTTCAATATCACCAGTTATCTCACGAACACTCCTAGGTTCCTTAGCAGAGATTAACAATTGACAATACAATAGAGTTTTGTAGATATCTCTTGTGATCTCCTCATTGAGGAGCGAGTTACCTTTTTGAGCTAGGTGATTTATGCTATGCCCAAAAGTTTAGCCTAGCTCTGCTGCATTGGAGCTCCTCATAAGGGATCCAGGGTCAACAAACAAACTAGATCAACCAATCGACAGAGCCTAACCGACCAAATCAATCCTGCCTAGCCAAAGCTAATTAAGGCCACCCGATCGACAACGTCAGTGTACCAAACTGATCTTACCAAGCAAGGTCAAATAATCTCAGCAGGTCGAGCCATAAAGCAGCCGAGTGATAGACTCATATATGTAAAATATCCAGAATATCTTGTACAATTCTCATACAAACAAGAGAAAAAAAATGCAATGCTACTATATTGTGCCTCCTCCCTCTTTAAAGAAAGAGCTTATTTTATAAGAATAGGATGAAAGACCCCACCCCCCAAATCGTTTGTTTAAGCACTATTTTTTTTTGACTAACCAAGTCAAAAGGGGCTTTATATATATAGGGGAATCCATTAAATATGAAATTTACCAATTTTAATGTCATTAATATTCTTGAGTCTTAAAAAAAATCAATTTATTAACATCCATATTTATTAAAGAATGTTAACATTTTAAGCCATCTCCGGGATGTTTGAGAAATTACATAAAATTGATAAAAAAATCATATTAAAATTTTATAAATGAATATTTTTTCTACAGTGGAAGACTTGGAGCTGGAAGGAACTCATATATATGAGAAATCATCAAGCTCTACTAAATAATCAACATGGATGATCATTATTAACAAACATCATCGCTCGACGACTGCCTTTTGGGCCTAACATCCATCATTGCCTTGGCAGCTCGGTTGATGTCAACATCCATAGCAATCAGATGACCATCTCTTGAATACCTTACCTTCTATCATCTAACATCAACACCGACACTAACATCCACATTATCATCGCGCGATGTCACGAGCAACTCCTATACTTACCATCGCCAATAAGGCCAACACATAATGAATCTATCAACCCCAACGCTTCCCAATGCTAACAATGTGTTGCCTGATGTTGCAAACAATATTAACAATAGTCAAAGTCTGCAAGATTGTCGCATACAACTTTTATATATTTATTTGCGCTCTAAATCAATACATTATTTATCATCATCATCAAAATTCTTTTTGAAGCCGCATACAACTTCTATATAATTAAACACATCGGTACTTCTAATGTGTGGTCTCTTATCTTTTAAATTACATTATTGACATCAAATTCAGCACCGGTACTAACTGTTGTGAAAAACAACGACAATAAAGCGAAAAATTAATCAAATTCAGCACCGGTACTAACTGTTGTGAAAAATAACGACAATAAAGCGAAAAATCAGATCTAGAAAAATTGCAAGATAAAAAATAACAAACACACATTTACTTGGTTCGGCGAATTGCCTACGTCTACGGAGCTGCAGAGGATTTTATTACTCGAGGATTACACCCGTCGATCGCCTCGACGATTACAAGAAAGAACAATATATATCTCTCTCTTCTATCTCCTCTCATCTCTCTCTAACCCAAGAGCTTCAAATTGAAGCATACCAGAAGAAGAACCTGGAAAGCTACAAATGCCGAAGAGAAAGCCTGAGAAACCAAATCCCGAGGGAGATTACAAGGGGAGCTAGCATACTTATTTATTAATTTCATCATGTCATTAGACCTATTAAGAAATTAATCAAATAATTAATGAAACTCATTAATTATTTCATTTTCTCTTCTGCAGCAAATCATAGAAGAAATTAAGAGCAATTAATTTCGAGTATCAAATTCAATTTGCTGTCAAATATGAGAAAATGCCAATTTGAGCAGTGGTCCGGTTTACATATCCGCAACATTAACATCCAACATTAGCATTATTACAAAAGCTAATTGGATTTTAGTAAGACGTGAAAATTAGTGAGGTACTTTTTAGAAGAAGTATTGAGTTTAATATTAGGTACGGAATCCAGATACATCTGAACTTTATGTACCACATTGTTATTGTACAACATACATACAACAATATACAATATTGTTATACACGAAATCCGATTGTATCTGGACTACACAGGTAATAATTTTTTCAGTCGCCGCCACTCCTCCCCTCGAGTCATACATGTTCTCAACTGCGACATCGTCTTCCCGGCTCACGTCGACGACGGCATCAAGTTATCAACTCATGAGCTCATCGTTCCCCACTCAAGTGAGATTATGAACAAGTCATCGTTGGAAACGGTTTAATCAGTCACAAATATTTTATCACGAGACATTGAAGTTTACAGCTTTGTTAAAGTATTTAAATCAGTTACAAATATTTTATTATGCGGCATTTACATCTATACCACACATTTTTTAATATATTTACATTTTTAACACCTCAATTTTCATATATTTTGATTCATATATACAGTTACAAATATTTTATATATTTACATTTTTAACTTCTCTGCGATTTATAACGTCCCAAAACATAATTATGGGTATAAATATGGATCAGATTGCTTAAAGATTATGGGTGTAGATATCAAAACATTAAAAATTGAGAAATTATGGATTGTGTCATGATTTTCATGATCCAATAAGCATGTCCTAATCACAAATAATCATGAAAATAATCAC